CTGATGCTGGCATGGCACAGCCTTCAGAGCAGGGTGGTGGTATATGTACTTTTGGAGGGGGAGGGGTAAACGACTACAGACACAATGGAGGGGAGCCTGATCAAATAAGTTTGAGAACCACGGCTCTAGTGAGTTCTCCATTGTCTCCTGAAGCAGAGCAGATCTGAGCCCAGGACTGTATCTGCGGTAATCTGTATCTACATACACAGATATCTAACCTGGAAAGGAGAGGAATGTTCTACCCTTTTCTCTAGTTCCCAGATGTTGCAGCAGCTCTGGGTGTGAGTGAGGGGAGGGAGGAAGAGCGAGCATGAGCCTACATGCAGGAATATTGAGTGCAGGTTGAGTCCACGGTATCGGGGGTTGAATCCTGAGAGCCGTGATTCTGAAATGGATTTTGGAGTCATAGAGAATGAGCAACTAAGCATGAACCCCAACGTGATGCTTTGGCAAAAAGGGCTAAAGCAGGGGTCTCAAACTCCGGGCCCGTGGGCCATCTGCAGCCCATGAGCCTCCTCAATGCTGGGCTCCAGCAGTTTTGGGGCTGGGTCTCTCCCTTGGCCCCACCTGCCGCCCCCGGATGCTCCCCTGCCAGGGACCCTGGCAGCGCAGTGGAGCTGAGTGGCTTCTGCCTGCTCACTCCAGTGGCTGCCGGCCCCTCTCTGCGGCCCTGGGGCAGGGCGGGGCTGCACCTCTGTGTGCTACCCCTGCCCCGAGCACCCCTGTGGCCAATGGGAAGCTGTGGGGGCATAGGATGACCAGACTGCAAATGTGAAAAATCGGGACAGGGTATGGGGGGTAATAGGAGCCTAGATAAGAAAAAGACCCCAAAATCGGGACTGTCTCTATAAAATTGGGACATCTGGTCACCCTACGGGGGCGGTGCCTGAGGGTAGCAGCAAGCGGAGGCCCCCCAGCCTTGGTGCCACAGGTAAGCACCGCATCCCCGACCCCATCCCAGAGCCTGCACCCCCACCCTCTTCCCACATACCCCCTCCCACCCCAAACTCCCTCCCAGAGCCTGCACCCCCTCCCTACATACTCCCATCCCCCAAACTCCCTTCCAGAGCCTGCACCCCTCCCTCCCTCCCAGAGCCTGCAACCCCACCCTCTGTCCCTGCACCCCCACACCCTGCCCCAGC